ACTTGACTTGGGGAGCAAGGTACTCCTGGGCTCTAAAATGGAAGTCCATCCTCAGATCTATAGTGAAGTGACCAAAACAATGGGGTTATCTAGCCTTGATGAACAGGTTTGCTAGACTTCTCTCGTAAGAAAAAAAAAATATACACACTCATACACACTCATACATACACCCAAACGCGGACGAACACAACATTATCTAGTTGCTCCCACAGTGCTCAAGAAAGTGAATTTTAACAAAAATACTCAACCAGTTAGATGTTCTCACACACCCTCCCATCAGACCCATTGTGTTTGTGTCCATTTTCTACAGCCACCTCTACCGATAGTGTTCTTTGGCTAGCATTCGAGAACTGCTTTTGGAGTATGTATTCTAAAGTCACTACTGTTTCCTTGTGCTAGCTCAGCTTTCTTGCTCCTGGCTGGCATGCTACCACATGAGACACACCTCCAGCCTGTAAATTCAAGCGTTCCGTGTGTGTGTGTGTGTGTGTGTGTTTTGTTTTTCTTAAAAAAACTACAAGTTGAAATAAATATGAACCTATTGATATGTAGAAGAGAACAAGGCATTGGTGGCTCATGCCTGTAATCCTAGCTATTCAAGAGGCTGGGATTGAGGATTGTGGTTGGAAGCCAGCTGAAGGGAGTCTTATGTCCAATTAACCTTTCTGGTTAGCCAAAAGTTAATTGGACATAATGGTTAATGCCAGAAGTAGAGGCGTGGCTCTGCAGTACAGCACTGGTGGGGAGGGGCGAGAATCACAGCAAGAACATGAGATTTTGAGTTCAAGCTCCAGTGTGCTTTGGTGGGGCTCAACAAAAAACATTTCCTGGGCCGCTGTTGGTCTAGAGGTACCAAGCTTCAGACCTCTCTCACTTCTGTCTGTGTTTCTTATCTCTTCATACAGAGAGTTGACATCTACATCAATATTGTATATTGATATTGATAGATTATCTATATGAAACTCATGTGTTTCTGAAAATTGGCAAAGTGATAACTACATTTTGCTTGTTCCCCCCCCCCCCACCCCCCTCTCTCAAGGCTAACAGTTGCTTAGAAACCTCATTGAAATCTGAAAAGCCACCTGAGGAAGGTAACTAATGAACTGCTCATTCAGGTTAGGGCTACAGCGCACATAATTTGATGTGTGGAGTTGCTTGTGAGTGTGTCTGCCAGGGTGCCCTGGTAGGCAAAAACCCCTGTTGGTGTCGTGGCTGTCTTCCCTAATTGCTGGGGATCATGCATGCATTCTTGTTGCAGCGTATGCTGCAGTCTCGCATATTTATGGCTGGAGCAAATGGAGACTCTCCTTCAGATATGAAAAGTGAACAAGAGCTGTCATCCCAGCTACTCAGGAGGCTGAGATCTGAGGATTGTGGTCCGAAGCCAGTCCAGGCAGCAAAGTCCGGGAGACTCTTTATCTCCAATTAAAGAAATAATCTTTCAGTTACCTGTTCCAATGGGCTTGTCCCAAACAAATCACCCTCCACCCATCAGGGGAAGAGCCTACATTTACTGCCTCGAGGAAATCAGCTTTCTTCCTTTGAAGAAATGAAGCCGATGAGTCTTTCCTTTCCTAAATGTTTTTATCTCTCCCCCAAAGGTTTGTGAAATGGGCCGGGAGTGATATTCCAGAAGGCAGCCCTTGCTGCCCCAGGAGCAACAAGGTCACGGGGCTGGGGAGATAGAAGGCTCCAAGTTCCTCAGGAAAGTAAGCCACACAGGCCGGGTCCTGCCTGCTTCTTTCTGAAACACAGTTCCTGCAGTTCCCGCATCACAAACAGGGGGCAGTCTCTGTTAATTAAAGCCAGGAGCCTCCTCTGAGGGCCAGAGTCTAATGTTCTGGTGATAGGGATACGAGGCATATTCTGAAGTGGACTTTCTGGTCATATTTTTGTCTCTGCAGAAAAATGACAACGAACAACATCAAATTTAGAAGTACCTTAGAACCCCCATCTCTTGCAGGAGGGTGTCTGTGACCTACTTTTTTGTGTGTCTCTGTGTGTGGGGGTGGTCCCTGGGATTCCCAGATGTGTACTGAGATGTGCCATTATGGCAGTGTCTGGGGTGAGCAGTCAGGCAGTGTGCATCCAGTCCTAGGACTTTTTATCTCTGAGCCTCAGTTTCCTAACCCTAGTAAGCCTGTGGAATAAGCGCCTTCCCTCATCTGATTGAGCACTGTGTAACTGGCTCCTGACTCTTGGCATCCACATTCAAACACCTGGCTTTCCTTGCTTGGTTTAAGACAATCTTCCACAAGAGATCTTTATTAACCAGCCCACAAACACGAACACACGAACACACACACACACACACACACACACACACACACACACACACACACACACAGAGTTTACAAATATTTCCTGATGGAATATCACGTTCCTCACTTTTCTAGGTGTTGTTGGATAAACCAGGACCTTTCTACCATGGAGTCTATACCACAGTGCTCAGAGATAAATACCACCCCCTCCCCCAATACATATTATAAAATGACTTGGTGGTTAGGACCCAACCCTAGAATCACTTGGCTCCCTTGGGTCAAAGGTCATCTCTGGAACTCATGTGCTCAGCTTTCCTGGCTCAGAACCACCCTGGGGCTGTTTAATTGCATTAAGACGCAGGCTCTAACCCCAGAGCTCCCATAATATCACCCAACGGGTAGAGAACCAAGTGACATCAGTTGCTCGGTGGTTCCTTCATCTTTTTCAGATTGTTGGCAGTACGCTGGGCACTGTGCTAGGCATCCAGGAGGATTTCATTTGAAACAAACAAACTGTGTGTGTGTAAGTGGGGAATGTCACAAGCCCTGATAAATGTCAGCTATCATTAGCTCTCACACAAGGCAAGTGTTTGTGGATTCGCAAAGCAGTGGTGGGCGTGGGGTTCAGGTCATGACAGATACACCACTCTGCCTTATTTTGAGGATCCTAATAGATATGATGCATGTGGCTAAAACTCTCACGTTTTTCTCATCGAGGAGGAGATGATATTCAGGTGGAGGGGAGGTGCTGGGTCTAGGCTCTGATGAGCTTTTCCTAAGGTGGCCCGGGTGCGAATTCTCCATCTTTTATTTTTCCTTCCAAACGTCGAAAGGTAAGGTTATTCAAGGAGAAGGGGCGATGAACCAAAGGCTCTTTGATTGAGAGAAAACCTGCTAGAGAGTCCTATGCTTTTTCCAGTAAGTGGTGCCCTAACGTACCTGGCATATCATCTGAAGTGTGACTTCTTGGTCCTTGGGAAAGGCCCTGATTTAGCCCTCAACTGCCACCACATGGGTGAGGAAGACGGTGGAAACATTGCTTCCACCCATCCCTCCCCCCCAAAAAAAGCCTAGTCGACTGCAAAGTGTATACCCGGTTAATGTAATTAAAACACAAAACGCTGGGGGGGGGGGGACGGTGGGTGGAGATCTAAATTTAGTGTAGCAGCTTGGGTACAAATTCTGTTTTGGGGGGCTAGCGGAGTCAAATTCAAGCTGAGGCCAGGAAGAAGTGGGAGCAATGGAGGTCCAACGGGGTGGCTGGAATCCACTAGGGGGGAGAAAGGAGAGGAAAATGGGGAAAGAAAAGGAACGGAAGAAGCAAGGGCCAGCTCCGCGCGCCCCTCCCCGCCCTCCCGGTGGGTGCGGATCTGGGGGGGCGCCTCCTCCTCCTCCTCCTCCGCGTCTGCTCTCCGGGGAGACCGAGGACCTGGCTCGGGCTCCAGGCGCCGCAGGGTGGCCGAGGCCGGGCGCCCAGGCCTCGCGCTGCGCCGCCCTCCCGCGGAACCCAGAGAACGCCGCGGGGCCAAGGGGTGGGGGGCAGAAAGCTGCAGGCCCGGGGTCGGGGCGGTGGGCTGAGGAAGTTCTTAGGAGAGCCCTTCCGGGACACGCCATTGCCACCCCATCTCCACCTCCCGGAGCTTCGGGGTCCAGTTCTCCCCAAGCCCCGCTCCCTGGGGATGTGGTCTTACCCGACTCCCCCCACCCCGGGCCCCGGGGCGCGGACTCGGCCTCAGCCCGGGAAGCGAGGGTCGCGTGCGGGGCTGCAGAGCGCATCCCTGCGCCCTAGGAGGGTGGTGGTGGTGGTGGTGTCCCCACTCTCCCTCCTTCCCCCCTACCTCCTACCCCCGTCACCCCTGTCCCTGCTGGGCAGAGTCCAATCGCGGCTCCTGCGCACGCACCCCGGGCGGAGCCACCTCTGCGTCCCGGACAGGGTCGAGCCGCGCCTCCCCGCGCCCAGAGGACGCGGGCGTCCCGCCGCGGTCTTCTACCTGCCGCGAGCCCCCGAGCTGCGCCTCCCGCCTCCGAGGCTGCGGGAGCTCCGCGCGGCTCCTCCCCGGCCGCCCGGCCGCCCGCCCGCCCGGCGCCGCGCGCCCCCAACTCGCGCCCGCCCGCCCGAGTCACCTCTCCCCGCGCCCCCGCCCGCTCCGCTCGCGCCGCCCCCCGGCCCCCACCCGCGCCTCCTCCGCCCGCCCTCCCTCCCCTCCCCCGCCCTCCGCGCCCTCCCTTCATTCCACAAGTGTCGCTCCGCTCTCCCCGGCGCACTTGGAAAGAGCCGGAGAGCGGAGCGGACCGGGGCGAGCGGACGCGGGGCGGCGGGTCCCGGAGCCGCTGGCGGAGGGGCGGCGCGGCCAGTCTCCCCGGTTCTCCTCACCCCGTCTCCGTTCTCTCCGTGGCCCGCCGGACCTGCACCCCGTGGCTCGCTCGGCCCCCCGCCCCGCCGTCCTCTCCACTCTCCCCCCCCTCTACTCCCCATCCCTCCCCGCCCGGCCCGGCCCCGCGCGCTCCTCCCCGGCCCGGCCCCTCGGCGCGCGGCGCGCTGGAGGCGAACGCAGGCTGAGCCGGGCGCCGTGGCCGCCGACCCCCCGGGCGCCCCGCGCGGCTCCCTGCATGTGCGGCCCGCGGCGGCTCGCAGCCCCCGGCAGCAGCCTCGGCCGCGACTCGAGAGGCGGCTGCAGCGGCTCCGGCTCCGGCGGCGGCGGAGGCGGCCGAGCGGTCGAGCCCGGGCTGGGAGACACGATGCGCCGCGTCCTCCGGCTGCTCCTCGGCTGCTGCCTCACGGAGCTGTGCGCCCGCGTGTGCCGGGCGCAGGAGCGAGCCGGGCTCGGGCCGCTGGCGCAACTGGGCGGCGTGGTGGTGCTGACGGGAGGCAATCGCTCCGGGGCGGCCTCCGGAGAGGCCGCCGAGGGCACCGGGGGTTCGGACGCACCCCCGACCCGGGCGCCCACGCCGGACTTCTGTCGGGGTTACTTCGATGTCATGGGCCAGTGGGACCCGCCATTCAACTGCAGCTCGGGCGACTTCATCTTCTGCTGCGGGACGTGCGGCTTCCGGTTCTGCTGCACCTTCAAGAAGCGGCGCCTGAACCAGAGCACCTGCACCAACTACGACACCCCGCTCTGGCTCAACACCGGCAAGCCCCCCGCGCGCAAGGACGACCCCCTGCACGACCCCACCAAGGACAAGACCAACCTGATCGTCTACATCATCTGCGGGGTGGTGGCCGTCATGGTGCTCGTGGGCATCTTCACCAAGCTGGGCTTGGAGAAGGCGCACCGACCCCAGAGGGAGCACATGTCCAGGTGGGCTGCCCTCCCTCCTCCCCCCCCTCCGCTCGGTTCTCCTCTGGGGAGAGGGGGGGGCAAAGCTCCCTCCTTCCCTCCGAGTCCTCCCCGCCTCACCCCAGCTCTCCCCGCAGGGGGGAGGTCCCCTGGGAAGCCAACTTTGTCTGGTGCGCGCGCGCGCGTGCGCGCATGGGGAAGGGGCGCGGGGCTGGGCCGAGGCGAGGGCGAGCTTGACTGCGTGCCATGGCGGGGGGCGGGGGGCGGCTCAGCCCTCACCCCTGTTGCGGGAGTAAGGGCGGAGGGAGGTTGGGAGAAAGGGATCCATGCGCCCCCCCCCCCTCCACCGCCATCCCCAACCTCCAATTCCAGACAGATGCTAAACCTCTAGGTAAACAGAGGCAGGCGAGCCTCCAAAGGACGGGGTGTGGGGGGGGGGCGTGTGTGTGAGGCCCCGCGTGAGAGAGGGAACTGGCAAAAAAGGGGGGGAGAGGGAGAGGAGGGCAAGAACAAAAGCCTCGCGTGGGGGAACCGCGACTTCATCTTGCCCGTGTGCCCCCCTCAACCAGGAGCCCCGCTTTTCCCTCCTGCCCCCTCCCACCCTCCTCCCGAGGCCGCAGGCATGCTTGCATGCTGCCCGCCCCTGCCCCCCCTCCCCCGGGACAACCCCCTCCTCCACCACACCCCCCCCTCCACTCCTCGTCCCACACCCCTGCACCCCGATTCGTCAACTTTCCCCCCTGCTTTTTATTCGTTATGCAAGTCGCAGCAGATGGGAGGAAAGGCAGTTAGAAATTAATGGAGCTGTTTGCCTTTTGCGCGCCCGCGCGTGCGTGCGTGTGTGTGTGTGTGTAAATCCTCACAACTCAGTAACTTTGGGAGCAGGACTGCAGCCACAGAGCCGTGTGTGTGTGCGTGTGCGTGTGCGGGTGTGAGAAGCCTGGGAGTTGGTGTGAGGTCGTGGAAAAGCCGGATTGGGTCAAAGAAGCAGACAGGGCTGGGGTGGACGCCTTAATTGTCCCGCACCCCTTTATTTTTCCTTCTCAGTCCTGGCAATGAAGTCCCTGTGTCCCGCCCCCTCCCCCCCCCCCACCAGGGGCCAGTGTGTCTGTGTGTGCACGCCTGTGTGTGTGCACGCGCTCCTGTGCGTGCCTTAAAAAATCTGAACAAAGACACCCACCAAAAATAGGCAAAGGAACATCACCACCTCAGTAGTAATTATTTTCTATTTATACGCAGAGTATCTGATGAATTTTTTTTTTGTCCCCTAAAGGGGAAGGATTTGGAGGGGACCCGGAAGAGAGGAGGTGAGGAAGTCCTGGTTGGTTTAGGTAGGGAGTGGGGTTTGAGATTGAGAAACAAGCTTGTGGAGGATTCAGGAAATCCAGGTCTATCCAAACCCCACTGTCCCACAACCCCAGAGTAATAACCCCATCACCAACTCCACCAGCTGCTGGGTCCCCTCCTCAAGGCCCAGTCCTCAGGGGGACGCCAGTCCCCAAGGTCTGTGCTAAGTGTGGAGGGAGAAATGGATGGACGAAGGGCCACGTCAGTGGTGTGGCTCTGTGGGGACATTGCTGAGAGACAGGCAGGCTGCATGCAGGTGGACAGCAGCCCGAGTCTCCCCTCAGCTTTGCCTGACCAGAGCCCGCCCTCAGGAGGCCCTTCCAGGTGTGGGAGGAGGGGGTGATGTTGGAGAGAAGTCAGCCTTTGGGGGTGTGTTTGGGAGGAAGAGACCCCAGCAACCTTCAAGACTTCTTTGACCTGGGCCAAATTGATCTCCACTAGTTCCTCAGGACCCAGGAGGCACCTGGATTCCTTGTTGTGCCCCCTACCAGCTTTTTTTTTTTTTTGAGAGGTGTGTGACTAGTGGAGTGGGTTGCAGGTGCCAGAAAAGATCTGTTTTCAGGCACCATTTAGGGCGTACTCAGTCCTGGGACAACAGTGCCCCCAGACAGGCTCTCCAGGTATTTATTTTGGCAATTCTAGAATAAAGAAAGTCCATTTGAAAAAAAAAAAACATACTAGCAAGTGGCTCTAATTGAAGCAGAGAATTGTTGATTTCTAAGGCAGCTTCCCCCCACCTTGTTGCTTTTTGGGGGCAGAGAGAATCACCTGTAAATCTTTAAAGGAGATCTTGTGGTGTGGGGAATCCCACCTTTCATTATTTAAGTGACGGTTTCAGGTAGGGCCCGAGTCTCTGTGTATTTGAAAACTATCCCAGGTGATTCTACCATTTAGCCAATCACTGTTAAAGAAAAAAAAAAAGACAAACACTTGCTGGGGCTCACCATGGTACGTGTGTGTGTGTGTGTGTGTGTGTGTACACCTATGTGTATGTATGTGTACGTGTATATGTGTGTGGGGGAAGGGACTCAGTTCTCAAGGCTACCCTATGAAACAGGTGCTTTTAGTTACCGTTTTCATACGAGGAACCCACAGTGCAGATGTGGTGGTTTTGGCCGAAGTCACATGATGAGAGGTTGTATAGTTTCCGGTCTCCTGCTTTCAACTTGTGCCTGCAGTAAGCAGATGTGCTCAGACCCTGTCTCAGGATTGGAAGGTGGTGCCAGTGTGTGTGTGGGGGGGGTGGGTGTTGGGGTTCCCAAGAGCAGGGTCTTGAGTTCCATTCACAGAGATTCTGAATCAATAGGTTGGGAATGGGCCCCAGAAATCGGCTCTACTCCCTCCCCTTCCCTCCCACCCCCCATGCCAAGTAGTCTACGCTTTGGAGAAACAGATCTTGGGTTTGGGAATTATTTGGTACTGGATCAGGCGATGGACGGTGAATCGGAGAGGAAGGAAGGGGGCTGGTGTGATTGTTAATTTGTACTTCCTTGCTGCTTTTCTATGCGTGTGTCACCTTCGTGTTTGTTGGGCTGTTCCCCGGTCTTCTGCGAATGCCTCTTGTTCTGCTAGCCTGTTGTCAGTCAGAGTTGCCTGCCGTGTGGTGATTGGCTCATTAGCTCTTACCTGGGCATCGTCTGGTGCAGCCAGCACTCCAAGCTTGGGCCGCCGCCGAGAGGCTGCTAGGGGGCCAGGCGGCCTCAGCCTCTTCATTCTTGTCTGGAGCTGCAAGGGATTCTTGGGTTGTCTCCCACCCCAAAGCACTCTTTATCAAGGACATAGCAGGTGGCTGCAAAACCATTGCACACTTGTGGAAACCCCCCCCCCCCCCGCCCCATATTTGATTTCCCAACAGAACTCTCCGGCTCAGCAGTGTACAGCTTCAGAGGCCTGAGATGATGAGGGCTGAGAACAGACAGACAGACAGGGACCGGGCAGAGGGAATGAAGGCTATCCTGGGAGGGCCGCAGAGACGCTGGTTCTATGCAGCTTCAGCAGGTTTTCTGAAGGAAGGGTTTGTCTTTCAGCTCCCCAAGCGATGAGGTTTTGTGTTGCCTGCCAGATACTTCCACGTATGGCTTTTTTTTTTTTTTTTAAAGTTTCCCATAGTTTGTCATTGTGAACCACAGTAAACACACAAGGATCTTGCTGGAATAAGGAATCTTCCCCTGGCCTGTGCCCAGGCTAAGGTTTCTTGACCTTGGCACGTTCACTTCTCGGGCTTGATAGTCAGCAATCCATACCCTGCACCTGTCACCAAAGTGAAGAAAAAAATCTCCAGATATTCCAGATGTAGAAGAGGAGGGACATCCCCCCAAACACAGTTGAGAACTACTAATCTAAATGGTTTTAGGTTCTCCCCCCCCCCCAGATTGGCTTAATTGCTTCAATATTTCATTCTTAGATTTTTTTTCTTGTGTACTCCATCCTTTTTCCTCTCCCCCCTCTTCCTTTGGTCTCTCCCTCCCCTCCCCTCTCTTTTCTCCCTCCCTCTCTTTACCATCTCTTATCTTTCTCTCTTTCCCTTTTTTGCTCACAACATTGGATAATAATTTGCAGACTTGACACCGAGCCCCTAAATGTGTCTGCCTGGATCTCTTAGGACCAAGCATGCTCAACAGATCCATCACTATGCCAATCACAATTCCCTGCTCTTTGTTCTGGAATTCCCAGCCCTAACAGAATATCCCCGCATCCCCCAGATGTGTCTCAGAGCCGGGGCTTTTCCTTCAGGTCTGTGACAGGTGGCTCTGTCATCTGCCAACTGGGTGGACTGACTGGCCCGAATATACTGAGATCTTACCCTAGCTCAGTCACTTTCTAGCTGTGTGACCTTGGGAAGGTTGCTTCACCTCTCTGAGATTCTCGTTCTTTGAGAATTCCCCAAGGACCAGGCTTGCCAAGTAACTCCCTGCTCAGCCACAATGACCTTTTCTCGTGTTCTTCTTCTTGGAACCTGTCCCCTTGTGTCTACTGAGCAGAGTGATGTTCAGATCTCAGTGTTCAACCCTTGCTCTGTGTCACCAGGCTGGTCTCCGAACCTCTCTGGAGTTGCATTTTCATCAGCTCAGGAGGAGCTGGCGCCGTGTGCAGCCTAGGGAAGAGAGGTTGGAGTCTATCTAGCTCCAGCACACCGCGAAGTGTTGTCTGGGTGATATCGAAGAACCCTGGCTTGGCTTTGCAATTTTGCCATAAGCTTATGTGTAAATTCTCATTTAATTTCACACCCCTCCCCCACGAGGTAGGTTCAGTGACAGGCTGCCATTTGCAGCGGCGCGGGAGGAGGCTTGCTTTCCAAGAGGCTACACCAGCTCCCCGGTGCTCTGATTTCAGAGCCAGAGGGTAGGGACCTTGCCTGCTAGGCAGTGGGCAGCCTCTGAGTTCACACCTGCAGGATTGTCCACCTCCTCTTATCTCTGACAGAGGCTGAGCGCCCAGCAAACAAACATTGTGTGCCTTCGCCCCGGATCAAGGGGCCGAGGTGTATATATATATTTTACGTCTGCCCCTGGCTGGGCCAGGTCTCTTGGTGGAGGCGCTGGTGAGCAGCGACCTTGAGGGCAGGGAACAGCGTCTGAAGCTCTCTCCACTGGAGGCCAATCAGAGCTCACGTGTCATTCTTCTGCTCATCTTCAAACAGAATTAAAAAAAAAAAAAGAAAAATCCAAGTTGGG